CCTTCGCCACAGCTTTCCACAATCTAATTCGAGACCCAAAATCGCCCTGAAGGGGTCCTCCCCGTACGCCCTCAGAATGTCTAACGTCGCTTTCGGAATCCGTAAAACTAGTCTGTGAAGCAGCCGTTCTGTGACCTCCGACAGGTGCTCTGGCTGGTAGACAATTTGCCGTTCTCTCACCTCCCACGGGTCTTCTGGCTGGTTGACACCTGCTCCCAGTGATTCCCTTCGCCACAGCTTTCCACAATCTAATTCGAGACCCAAAATCGCCCGAAAGAGGTCCTCCCCGTGCGCCCTCAGAATGTCTAACGTCGCTGTCGAAATCCGTAAAACTAGTCTGTGAAGCAGCCGTTCTCTCACCTCCCACGGGTGCTCTGGCTGGTAGACACTAAGCCGTTCTCTCACCTCCCACGGGTCCTCTGGCTGGCTGACACCTGCTCCCAATAATTCCCTTCGCCGCAGCTTTCCACAATCTAAATCGAGACCTGGTAGACAATAAGCCATTCTCTCACTCCTCTGGCTGGTTGACACCTGCTCCCAGTGATTCCCTTCGCCACAGCTTCCCACAATCTAATTCGAGACCAAAAATCGCCCCAAAGAGGTTCTCCCCGTACGCCCTCAGAATGTCTAACGTCGCTTTCGGAACCCGTAAAACAAGTCTGTGAAGCAGCGTCGAGCACGCCCTTTCTTCCGCTTTCGAGCCTTCAGCAACGCTTCAAGCCGCCTGCCGCGACGGACACGCCTCGGGCTACGCTCCACGGAGCCGATCTCTCACCTCCCACGCGTCCTCTGGCTGGTAGACACCTGCTCCCAGTGATTTCCTTCGCCACAGCTTTCCACAATCTAATTCGAGACCAAGAATCGCCCGAAAGGGCGCCTCCCGGTACGCCCCCAGAATCTCTTGCGGAACCCGTAAAACAAGTCTGTGAAGCAGCGTCGCGCACGCCCTGTCTTCCGCTTTCGGACCTTCAGCAACGCTTCAAGCTGTCAGACCTTCCGCAACGCTTCCAGCATGCCCTCGGTTGCCTTCTCTGGCGCGCGCCCCCTTCAACCGGCGGGGTCGGCGGATATGTATAATAGTGTTGCAGAGAACACGTGATGTCACATAATGAAACACACTTCCCTTGTTGATGACTGCTGCTGTGACATTCAAGCTTTTGAAAGAACTCACACCGTTCAGACAAGCAGTCCGGAGACTCAAGAATGGGTGGAATGGGATTCGATGTACAAGTTTCACAAAGGGCCGAGAATCCAGGAACCGTTTCGCCGATGAGAAGGGTTCTTCAACAAGTTTCTTTTGCCCTCTACTGCTGCGTCCAATTGGTAGCGCCTTTGCGTCGCTTACTAAACGATCTACTTACCCCTACTGCTCCACCACCCATCCCAACAAAAAGTAGTTGCACAGAAACTACTCACTGACTGATAAGTTTAAGTGCTTGACGGCCTCCACGAAGGTGCTTGTGTTGTTTGAGTGCATCAACACATGGGGTGTATGCCAGGATCACTGACAGCTTCTTGGACAAGAATTACAAGCACTCCAAGCATGGCATTCAAGCTTTTCTCTGCTTGAACAAATCAATTGAATGCAGACACTGGATCAAGCGCGCAAACTTCAGACACGCGGTCGCCATGTCCCATTCTCATCAGCAGCTGCATATGCTCAAGGAGCAGTACATTCTAGAAGTTTGCCAAGATCCGAAGGTATTCCAGAATAGCTAATTAGCAAGAAAGACACTATTAGATTTCAATTTGTGAAAGAAACCATGAACTCGGCAAGGGTCTCATTTGCTCACTCTCAAGATGGGCTGCGTCCAAGGCGCTGAGGTCGTGTCTTGGAGCGAGTCATTGGTGCAAGACAGAAACTTGAGTTCAATCACTTCTGAGTTCGGGAGACAGTTTGATCTGGATTATATATTTTGATTGAACGAAGAAAGGACGGATTTGACTGATTTGACCTACTTTTTCACTGTTGGAGAATGAGATCAACACTGCGAGATCAGTTTGGCCAAGGCACGACCAGATCCTCCAGTCCGGGGACCTGCTAGTGATCCAGGTGCAGGCAGAAGCTGTGTCTCCCAAACAGCCTGGCCCCATTTGTTTATCAGAACTTTACACTGCGGCTTGTGAAGTACATCGTTCTATCTGACTTATGAATAAGCTCAGTGTTTGGTGTCCCTAGCATACCCTTCTTCAAACAGTTTCTTGGCTCACTCAGATATACTGTACCAGAACAGCAACCTTGGATGAACCCGCTTGGTGAAGTGCGACCGTGACAGCCGTAGTGCGACCGTCCCATTTGTGAACGTTGGATTCCTGCCTTGGCCACAGGTTCCAGCACCGTCGTCCGAAAGCCTCCTCCCCCTGCTGTGGACGTGAATAGTATCGTCGTACCGGAAGGACCATTGGCTGCAGAGCTATACAGTATAATACAGCATACATCTTAGATGATGTCAGATTCAGGCATCATCCTGCAGTGACTATAGCCTGTAGTAGCGTCGACTCTAATGTTTCAACTCTTTCTCATAATTGTCCAAAAGCCTCGGCTTCTGATTTGTTCAGCCGGCCCTTTTGCAGGGAGAAGGAGATGCATCGTAGAATACTTGTTGATCACTTTTTTAGGCCATGCCATGCAGGTGACAAGGCAAGACCTGCCCCTGAGGTTTTGCATGAGGTCGCGTGGGAGAAAAACATAAAAATGGATACAAATTGGTTAGTGACTGGATGGTCGGGCCTACTGAGGATTCATCCATCCTCGAAGTCTGGCACGCTTTGATCCCTTTCAGGAGGAGCAGCCAGATTGGAGGTCAAGTCCAGCTGAACTTGGACAATGCACATGCATTTTGATATAGACTCCTCGATGTCTCCTCAAGACTGGACAGGGTGACGTTCTGATTAGACATCGTGTTCAGGTGGGAAAAGGACGAAGGACAATGGAGAAGCTATCCCTTGAATGACTCCATCGAGCTGGACCGGTACTGGCAAGTGTTTGCAAAGGCTGGCAACGAGGCTGAGTCCTCAGAAGACAAACAAACATGCTGATGGTCATCGATACAGAAGCTGTTGACTGCATGCAAAGCTATTCACATGTTCCTATTCGTAGAACGTTTAGAAGCTGATGCAAAACTTCCTTGCTTTGAAGCTATGATTGCTGCAAAAGAGAAGTTACAAAATAGATTTATATATATATATACAGTATATATATATATATATGTGTAACTCTTCCAAACATTGCCAATGCCAGCGGAACATTCCCATTGGCAAGCAAAGGGCTTTTGAACACATCTTCTCAAGAGTGGATCTCGCTGCCCAAGGGTGGTGAAACGAAAGCAAAGCTGAAGCTTCTCAAGACTGACGTGGCTGCTTGGCGGCAGGAGGGCCCTCAATTGCGTAGCTTCCAAGCCTCAAATCTCTATGATAAACGAATAAAACTGTCTTTGGTAGCAGCAAGACAGTGTCAACAGAGTGCTTTTTGCATTGGCTACTTTGCACTTGTGACCACTACTAGAATGCTGGTTCGTTTGCTAGCAGTGCTGTCCTACCGTGCCAAGCATAGAAAGACACAAACATGAGAAGACGTGCGACTTGAAACATTGGAGGATTTGCTGAAGTGTTGCTTGTTTTCTTTCTTTTTTAAAACTATTCTTCAGCCTTTGCTGCTGGCATGAGTTTAGACTTGCATCAATCTCATTCCAAAGGCATATGCTAAGTTGTTGGGCCAGTGTAAGCAGATGTGAATGTCAGGGAGGCCTTAGACGATGGGCCATGCAGTTGATCGTTGAAATAACTTGCTTTTGTGCAGGCCCTTGATACTGATTTCCAAAGGAGTGGTCTCACTCAAACGTCTTGAATAGTTCGGTCATCAGTCATTGCCTTGAAAGAAGTGGCTTCTCTTGTGGATTCAATAACTTTCCTTGCGCTTGAACAGCGGCCGCTATGAGGTGGTGGACTTTGCAGGAATGACTGCGCAGGTGGAAAGCATGTCTTCCTTTTCAGACTCTTGCTTCGGAAACATATGGACCGGTGCTGCTATTGGACTTGTGTTTCCGGACGTAACAACTACTGCCAGGCTCGAGCCGTAGAGAAGCAAGTTGTGAGAGAAACGCTTTTGATCCTTGTGCATGAGGCAGACCAGGGGCGCCCTCGAAAGATTGAAAGGCCTGCTTTTTCAAACTACCTTGTGGTACCCCGTCCAGGGCAAAAACGTATTGATGCCCACTGTGTTTGTGAGAGAGAGAGAGGAAGAGAGAACTCATATCAGCAATGGGAAAGCAAAAAAGTTGACAATTGCATCCAGCCAGCTGCTCACAGGAAGCTGAAAACCCCAGACTGGCTTAGCAACCGCTATTTCTTTGATGCGCAGCTCGAACGCAACAACATACAGCAAACATGCAATATCATGGAGTTTGCGATTGAAAGAAAGAGGTCTTGCCACAGGATTTCTACCAAGGCTGTGAAAGGCTTTGATAAGTTTCGATCGTCTATTTCATGCTCAAACATGCTCAAATACTATGTTCTGAGGTTCACCGAAACCCTAACCAAGGCAGGGTGCGGTGTTGAAATGCTGGAGCAGTTTGCAGATTGCATGATCAGGCCACCAGACAAGAAAGTGAGTCCTGCTTTTGCTTTTGAGGCAGGCATAAAGGTCGAGACTGCCCCTGAGCAAATGTTCGATTTTCGCTACGTACAGGACCGAATGAAAGGCAGTCTCCTGTCAACCGCTCAAGAGGGCATCCTTTTGTAGGTTAGGCATGGTTGTATAATGTCATATATAGACACATCAAGCGCCACAAGGACTTCCGTGATACCAAAGATGATGGGCGGAAGATGTTCCGAGGCGTGATGACCAGCCGTAGGCTCTTGGGACCGCTTAAACTTCAAACCCTTTACACAATCAACCTAATTGCGATGGCCTCCAACCTAATTGCGATGGCCTCCAACCTA